TCATATAGCAAATATAACTGAGCAACTACTGTATGCCAGGTACAATGTTAAAATAGACAAGTCCTTCTTCCAGGATAAAGCTTGTTTTCTAGTAAAGGGAGACCGGCAAGCAGACACACATGAGGTCATTCCAGATTCCAGATGGGTGTAGGTGATGTGAAGGAAATAAACAGGTTAATTGCCTGAGCACCCAGAGAGTGTGGCATGCACTCCTATGGACAGAGAGTTAGAAAAGGCCTCTGTGTGAGGGGAAGCTTGTGAGATGATGGGAAGGCATCAGCCATGGCAAGAGCTAGGGGGAGAGTGCTCCAGGCAAAGGCCCTGAAAGGGAAGAGTGTGTTAACTGTGAGGGCAGGTGGCCATTTAGGAGCTGAGTAGAGTGGCTCTGAGGAGGCAGGCAGGTGGGGGACACATCATGCCAGACTTTGTGGGCCATGGTGGGGAGATTGGGGAGATTGGGGTCCACCAGGACTCGCCAACTGTTTTTGGCAAGAGCATGGCAGCATCTATCTAAGAAGATTCCTCTACTACAGTGCAAAGCTGCCTCACACCCATTAGGATGGTTGTTATCAAAAAGCAAAGTCGTAAGTGTTGATGAGGGTGTGGAGAAATAGGAACCTTGGTGAATTGCTGGTAGGAATATAAAATGGTGCAGCCACTGTAGAAAAGGCATGGTGACTCCTTAAAATGCGAAATGGCATCATCATGTGATCCAGTGATTCTGCTTCTGAGCATGTACCCAAAAGAAGTGCTCTAATACGTACCTACACACCCTCATTAAAGGGGCTCTAATACGCACCTACACACCCTCATTCCTAGCTGCACTGTTTGCAGTAGCCAGGAGGCAGAAGCAACCCCAGCGTCCACCAGCAGATGATTGGAGGGGTGGCACATGGTCTACCCATGCAGTGGACTATCATTTGGCCTTAAAAAGAGAAGGTTCTGGTACAGGCTACAAAAAGCAAAGTCGTAAGTGTTGATGAGGGTGTGGAGAAATAGGAACCTTGGTGAATTGCTGGTAGGAATATAAAATGGTGCAGCCACTGTAGAAAAGGCATGGTGACTCCTTAAAATGCGAAATGGCATCATCATGTGATCCAGTGATTCTGCTTCTGAGCATGTACCCAAAAGAAGTGCTCTAATACGCACCTACACACCCTCATTCCTAGCTGCACTGTTTGCAGTAGCCAGGAGGCAGAAGCAACCCCAGCGTCCACCAGCAGATGATTGGAGGGGTGGCACATGGTCTACCCATGCAGTGGACTATCATTTGGCCTTAAAAAGAGAAGGTTCTGGTACAGGCTACAACGTGAAGGAACCTAGAGGACAGTATTCTAAGTGAGATAAAGTCCAGACACAAAAAGACAAGTCCTGCATGATTCTCCTTATGTGAGGTTCCCAGAGCAGTCAGGCTCGCAGGGACAGGAAGTAGAGTGGTGGCTATCAGGGGCTGGGGGAAGAGGACGGGGTCCAGGGTCTGATGGTTATGGAGTTTCAGTTCAGGAAAATGAAGATAGTTCTGGAGACGGACTGTGGTGATGGCTGTACAACAGTGTGAATGTGCTCAACGCCACTGAACTGTACACTTCTAAAGGGTCACAATGGTAAATTTTATGTCGTGTATATTTTGCCACAATTTTAAAACTTATAAGAGAAAGAAGACCCCTCTGGGTGCCCTATGAGAATGGTGGGGGCATAGGCAGGGCATAGCAAGGAGACAGAGAGGAGGATCTGGGCCAGAAGTAATGGTTCTTGGACCAGGTATGACAGTGGTAAGGGGACAGGTCTGCAGATTGAAGATCCGATTCTTGGGAAGCTGATTCTTCCATCCCAGAGGCCACTTCATGCCCAGATTTCCTTCTTCCCATCTTAGACCCCAGCACAGCTGCTTTCTTGGCTTGGGAAATAGGCCTCCCTCCTTCCCTTGATGGTTCATGCTGGTCTCCCCAGGCTGCCTGTCCCTGGTGCCTTCCCTAGGTACCCCCCAGGATCCATGTTCCACTCTCTGTGCATGTCCTGCCCTTAGAAAAGCAGAAAGAGCAAGGCTCCGACACCCAGAGCTTCAAAGCCCAGGTGGGTCGCTGAAGTGGCTGTGTGACGTTGGGCGACCTAACTTCAGTTTCCGCAACCCTAAAAGGGAGTAGGATCAAAAGTCACATGTGGGAAGTGCCTGGCAATGTCTGGCCCATAGTAGGTGTTCAATAAATAGTAAGTGTTGGGTTCAAATACCACCTCATCCATTTACTGTATAGTTACAGCTCAAAAAGTTAGCTGTGTAACTGTGGACAAGCTTGAAAAATTTTCTCTGTGCCTCAGTGTCTTCATCTGTAAAATGGGGATAAAAATGGTCTGTATCATAGGATGGGTGAGGGTTAAATGAGTTAATATAGATAAATGTTTTTAAAAAATGTGTGCACAGTATTAGATGTATGTTATTTTCAGAACCTAGAGATGTTTTAGGGCCTACACTGTACAGTATAGATGCCCTAAAAGTTTTTGTTGAATGAATAAATGCTTCAGTTTCTTGTATGTATATTGAGTTTCCCCTTCAAGAAGCTTACATCTTCTAGGTTTGCAGTTGGCTTGTGTCGAATCTCACCAGGCTAACCTTTCTCCACATCAGGGGCTCAGGGCTTGGGAGCTGGGGGTGATTCAAAGTCCAGAACCAGATGCTTCTGCCCCTGAGAGGCTCATGGTTCTGTGGGGCAGGGGCACAGGCCAAGAGGACAAAGCAGACCTGGGGCAGAGCGGCTGGGAAACATGGGTCCTCTGGGATTGTGGAGGGGGAGGGCTGCCCCTGTTTTAGGGATGGGCAGGAACCAGCAACAGCCCCAGAATTTCTCCCTAGCCGGGGGGCTTGGAAGCAGCAGTGGGATTATTTCAGGCTGACTATTTGCCATAGTTTGGGAGTGTTGGTGGAGATTTATAGCCAAGCCACCCGCTGGCTCCATCACCATGGGAGGGCTTCTTGGAAGAGGTGTTATCTTTGAGGCACCAGAAAGTGGCTGGGGAAAGAAGGCAGTGGCCCCCTATACAGCAGGGGCAGCCTCAGCAAAGGCCTGGAGTGCGTTCAAGGGTTGGTCTGGGTGGGGTTGCCAGGGCATTAAAAGCCAAGGAGATGGAGGTGCCGAGGCTGGGAGAGACAGGGCTAGTCACGGGCAGCCTCGGATGCTGGGCGCAGGAGTTCAGGCTTTATCCAAGGGCACTCGGGAGCCACGAGTGGCCTTTTAAAAATGACTTTATTGAGAGAAAATCTGAATACCAGCAATTCCCTCATTTTAAGTGATTCTTAGCAAATTGAGGGAGTTGTGTAGGCACCCCCTCAGTCTCCCTTCAGAGCTGCCAAATGATCCTTCCTGCCCCCTTGCAGCCTCCCCACTCCCCAGCTCCAGCAACCACCAGCCAACTTTCTGACTTTATGCATTTGCCTTTTCTGGACACTTCGTATAAATGGAATCCTACCAGCTGTGGCCTTTGTGTCTGGCTTCATCCTCATGGAGGATGCTTTTGAGGGTCATCCTCCATGTAGCCTGTGTCAACACTCCACTGTTTTTATGCCTGAATAGTATTCTGTTGTGTGGCTATACCACATATTATTCATCCACTCACCACTTGTGGGGCATTTGGGGTGTTTCCATTTTTTGGCCATTGCAATGCTGCTTTGAACATATGTGCGATCTTGTAGGGGATTCATGTTTTCAGGTCTCTTGGGCAGATTCCTAGGAGTGAATTGGCTGGGTCATATGGTAAATTTATGTTTAACTTTTGAAGAGATTTTCAAAGTGGAAGAGAGTCATGGAACGGAGTGGTTGGGCAGCTTGGCATGCCAGAAAGATCATTCTGAGCAGGGGCTTGGAGGAGGCTGCGGCAGGGTCTGGGGAGACTGTGATGAAGTGAGGACGGAGAGGTGCTGAGCACCGTGACAGCAGGGATAGAGCCAGGGGGTGGGTTGAAGAAATGCATGCTGCTTTGTGTTGCCCATCTGTAGATGTGATACTCTGATTTCTCAGTTATGGTGAACTAGCCAACGATGGAAGGTGTTGGCCACCATCCCCGTGTCTCTAGTGAGGGAGGAAATGGGCTCCAGAACCTGGCTCCCAACTCTGAGGCCACTTTAAGAGTAGAAGGTGGTCTGTAATATCTGTTTAATCCCATTTGATCTCATGATGCCCGTGTACCTGCCAGGGATCTGTGGTGGTAAGTAACAGAAATCAATTCTGGTACCTTACATAGGAAAGGAGTTTTTGGAGGCATTTAGGGAGCTTAAAGATGGGGTGGAAGGACTGGGGAGCCAGGCTTGGAAAATGACAAACTGCAGCTCTGAAGGTAGGAAGTGAGGCCCCCCTCAGGGCTCCGTCCCCTGCTCTGCTTTCCTGTCCTTGTTCCAGCTGCAGGGTTTGGCAAAGAGAATCTGGTGGACATAACCTGGGATGCGTGTGTTCTCATCTCCTGGCTAGGAGAGCTTGTGGGCAGCCGCACCAAGACTAAATGATGAAGGGGCAGGACAGGGGCCTATCTCCTAGAGGAACACAGGATGTTCCTTCTGGAAGAGGAGGGGATGGCTGCTGGGGTTTCCAACCACCCTCCCATATTCCAGATGTAGAAACTGAGGCATGGAGAGGTTAAGAATATTTGCCCAAGACCACAGAGCTGGGAAGTGGCCAAGTGGGGTGACCTAACCTGGGTAGAGTGGGTCCTCTGCTCCCCACCCCTGAGCTAGTGGGGCTGGGCTGCTCCCTGCCTCCTGACCAGTCAGGCTCCAGCCTCTTCCTGGGGCTGCCTCCAGGACATCAGGGTCAGGAGGCTGGTGTGAAAGAGCCCCACTGCCTTCTTGGCTTTTGTCTGGTCCTCCGTGCCCTGGGCAGGGAGTCCAGCTGGCCCCTTGTCACCCCCAGTGGGGCCTGCTTTCAGGAGCCAGAATTGGGAGGCCCAGGAGGCACCATCTAGACCCACAGCTCAGAGCTAATTCTAATTCACGACCTTTTTTTTTCTGTTCTCAGATCGGGAGGACCAGTCCATTCTATGCACGTGAGTAGAACTCTTTCTTCCTTTTTTTCCCCTGGAGTTGAGATCCAACCTATTATAGAAAAAGGTCCATGAGGGCAGGGCTCTTTGACTTGTTTCCTGTTCCAAGCACCTCACCTACATCTGGCACAGAGTGGATGCTCACTAAATGTTTGTTGAAAAAATGTCATGCTGAGGCGGGCCCACTTAAACTGTCAACAATGTGCCGTCTTGTTCTGCACCCACCTTTTTTAAACTAGCATTTATAAAGCACTTACTGGATGCCAGAGCTTGAATGAAATATTTTACAGGCAGAAGTGCATCTGATGGCATAATTGCTCTGTGAAGGCAGATGTCATCTCCATCGGTGAGGAAGTCTTGGCCTGTGTTAAACTGTCACCCTAATATTTCACAATTAGCAACCACATTTGTGCCATATTTGGTGGTTGGGGTCATTGTTTCTTTGAAGACCTGGGCATATGGTCAAAAGACATGAACTCAGTTTATAATCATTCAGAGAATCTTCATCATTCAGGAAAATCCCTCCTGTGGTGGGCAGGAGAGTGGCCCCAAAGATCTCCGCATCCTCATTCCTGGAACCTGAGACCATGACAGGTGACATGGCATATGGGGGAATGAAAATTGCAGACGGAATTAAGATTTCTGGTCAGCTGACCTTAACATAAGGAGATAATCCTAGATAATCCAGGGGGGCCTAACAGAATCATGAAACCCTTAAAAGTAGAAAAGGAAGGCAAAAGAGAGTCAGAGGGTCATTAGCGTTAGACTTGACCCAAGATGACTGGCCTTGAAAATGGAGGATGAGAACAGATTATAGAAGCTGGAAAAGCCAAGGAAAAACAGACTCACTCCTGGTGTTCCCAGAAGCAGACACAACCTTGCTGACCACTTGGTTTTAGTCCAGTAAAATCCATGCTAGACATTGGATCTCCAGACTGTAAAATAATGAATTTATGTTGTTTTAAATTTGTACTAATTTGTTACAGCAGCAGTGGGAAACTCATATGCCTCCCTTATATCTTCACCCGTACACCTGTCCCTACCGCCACTCATTATTCAACAAATTTAATGGCCCAGGGCCCCAGTGAGTACTAGGCAGACAGGAGGGAACAAGAGAGAATATGACCCCTCCAGAGAGAAGACAGCCACTGGGACAATGACCAGCATGCTTCCTTTTGCGCCATTTGAGTTTACTGTTTGACTCTGCAAAGGTACTGCCTTTTCAGAAACTTAACAACAAAAAAGGCCCACATTTAAAAAATTACCCAAGTAAATGCAAAATGACCCACTATGAAGATTACAAAGAATGAGACATGCGAGGAACTGGGAGAACCTATAAATGGGAGGAGTTCTGAGCTGGAAGAACAGGAAGGGCTTCTCCACAGAAGTGATACTTCAGCAGAGCTTGACTACAGCGGGTCCCCTAGTGAAAGCCCCCGGTCTGAGAAGAGCCTTTACAGGATGTATAGGACTGAGGTTGCAAACTCAAGGGTCAGTTGAAGCCAAGAAAGTAACCATTACTATGTGAAATGGACCTGGGGTACCTCCGTAGGGAGTGGTAGGGAGAAAATGGCCCATTTGCAGGGATGCCTGCTGTCCCTCTCCAGCCCACAATGCCATGGGACAGTGTAGGGCCAGGGTTGCCAGACTCTATGTTCCAATAGAAGCCAGAAATCTAGATTTTTTTATGTGAAATTTCCAATTTTTAAACACTGACATTTAATTTATATGAATTCCCCCAAACACCCCCCCCAAATATATACCCCCCACCCCACACACAAAGCACTCTCCAAATAAAATCCATTTGTGGGCTGGCTTTGACCAGAGGGCCACCTGTTTACATACTCCACCCCAGAACTTGGGGTCTGGAAGCATCCTCAGAGATGACCGAGCCCACAGTTCCCTGCTGTATACACAACGGTTAGGTGCAGGAATTGAAAGACATTTTTGTGGAGCATTCAGATCTGGAGTGATTTAAAATGAAAATAGATTCAAACTAGTCTCAGTGGCAGTATCCTCCTTTCATTCCCTTGTGTTCCAAACATCGCTTTGAGCGGGAGGGCAAGGAGGTGGGTGATGAGTGTGGGGGAGAATTGGATCAACCGCCCGCAGCCAGGCTGGTCATGGCCAACATGACTTGTGCGTGTTGGGGTGGCCATGCCGTTACAGGCAGAGTCTGGCACTGGGGTCTCATGATTGCACATGCAGCTCAGGGGAAACCAATCACCCCTTCAGGAGGAAAAGAAGCTCCTGGTTCATCTAATGCAGGTGAGGTCACTTCCATCCCCCCAGTGACCGTGTGCCCGAGTGAGAAGGAGAAGTGGTGCTCTGCCGTCCCTCCCCTAGCCTTGTTCCCACGTGGCCCCTAGAGCATGAGCGTCTCGCCATGCAGAGCATGCTCCCTCTCCTGCCTTGTCCACGTTGCACACTTGGGATCCCCATGTCTAGTTGGCATTCATACATAGAGAGTGCTGCTCAGGGTGTTGTGTGCAAGCCAGGGATGCATTACTTTGAGGAGTTTTAAGGGATTTTTCAATTTTGACCTGCTGTGTTTGTGTTGACTTACGTGCTATTGGTACCCAACCTACGTGTCAGATGGGACCCACTTCTCTGCAAACACCTTCAGGGCCTTGTTGGACTCTGAGTTCACCCATCAAAGTGAGCCCTGAGGTTGGCAGTTGACCATGTCACTGCAAGACCTAGGCCAGACCATCCGTGTTTCAAGCCTGGCTCTGCTTCTGGCTAGTTTGTAGTTGTAGTTGTAGTTGTAGTTGTAGTTTTAGTTGTAGTTGTAGTTGTAGTTGTAGTTGTAGTTGTAGTATGGTTTAACCTATGGCTCCTTGTTCTCATCTCTAAAGTGGGGTCGTGGGGATGATAATGGTATTTCATTTATAAGGTTGTTGTGAGGATTAAATGAATATTTATATGTATGTGTATAAATATACATAAATAAGTACATGTGTGTATGTAATGAGCATGTATATATCTAAGTGAGTGTCTATATGTGTATCTATATATATCCAAATGAATGTGTGTGTGTGTGTCTAAGAAGCCCTGGAAGCCAGATATCATATCTGGCTTAGAGGGCTTGGCTTGGTTCTGAGCCAGGTAAGCTGTCATTATCATAATTAGCATGTGTATCCTGGCAGAGCAGAGGCAAGAACCCCCTGTTCAAGTCCAGTCACCTCAGTTTTCTAGAGGAGGAAATCAGAGAGGTTGTGGATTTTTCTGAGAGGCACACAGTGAGTTTTTGTTGACCATTAGGCCTGGACTTAAATTTCGTGAGGCCAGTTGGAGGGCCCAAGTATCAGTCGCTGGCCTTTATGGATGATCTGGCAACAACCCCCATCACCCCAGCCCTCCTGTGGATACTGGGGAGTGGGGAATGGCTGGCACCTCTCATATTTACTGCATTGTTTTAGAAAAAAAGATTTGCAGCCAGCCCGTGCTGGCTCAGCCACTTAGAGTGTGTGAGCTGAGAGCTGAGTGATAGGAAGAGGCAGCCCCAGCCCCGGGGAGAATTTGGGAGAAGAGCCCCAGCCCCAGGCAGGGAGAAGAGCAAGAGCAAGGGCCTTGAGGTGGGACCCACCTGCCTTTGGAGGGGCGGCGATGGTGGGAGGGGCTGGTGTTAGTGAGGAAGGAGGTGGGAGGAGGATGTGGTCAGGGAGGCCGCCATGCGGGGCCTTGCAGGCGGGGGTGAGCATGTGGACACGTTGTGGGTCAGCTGTTCTGAGCACCCAGGGAGGCCAGAGTGCTGCCTGGGGACACACGCTGATGTTCTCAGGGTCTGGGGGGTCCGCATGAGCCACCCGGGGGCTGCCCCTCCCCGGCTCTTCCCACTCGGGTGGCTGTTGTCTGGCCATTCACCCCTCTGGGGGAGGTGACTCAGGCCAACAGCTGCCTTCTGTCACTCTCCCCTGGGAACATCGTTGACTCTTGTAAAGCTGCAGGGCCTCCACAGGGCCTGCTTTGGGTGCCTCACTCCAGGTCTGGATTCTCTCCGGACCAGGACTCCTACTTTGACTCCGCCTCCCCTTATCACCTTCACCTGGTTTCTGGAGAACAAGAAGTATTTTCTGGTAAAGGCACATAGGATTTTTAAAGCTGTTTCTGATAGCACAGCACAATACTGAAGGGACACAGGTATCTCAGGTGAGCAGCAGTTGTGTTAGGAGGCGAGGTCTTGGAGACACAGATCTAGGATTGCTTTCCCGCCTCACTGCAGGCTAGCAATTTGTTCTTGGGCTAGTTGGTAAATCGAAACCTCAGTCTCCTCATCCACAGAATGGGAATATTGGTGGCTTCTGCCTCTCAGAATGGTTGGAGAATTGAAGAAGCAAGGTAGGGGAGAACTGAGCACAGAGCCCAGCACATAGTAGGTGCTTCCTAATTGTTAGCTGGTGTTCTGACAGTGCTGGCAGTTAGTGTTAGTTGGGGTTCTGCTGAGCCTTGCTTGCTAGAGGCCTTATGATGCTCAAGAGAAAAACTCACATTTAGAAATCAGAATACTGACTGAGATAGAACCTCTCTGCTTGCACAACTCCAGGGATCCCAAGATAGAACTCTGTAATTTTAGAGTAGGCATCAGCAAACACATGGGCCAAATCTGGACCCTGCCTGTTTTTGTAAATAAAGTTTTATTGGAACATGGCCATACCCACTCATTTCTGTGTTGCCCATGGCTGCTTTTATGCTATGATGGCAGGGTGGAGTAGTTGCAACGGAGGCCATCTGTGCCCCACAAAGCCTCAAATATTTATTATCTGGCCCTTTACAGGAAAAGTTGGCCAGCCCTAGCTTTAGGCAAATCAGTTAACTTCTCTCAGCCTCCTTTTTTTCCCCCATTCTATTATAAAAATGAAATATGTAAGCACTTTGAAATTTAAGTTAAAATGTAAAATATATATGAGTGTATATATTTTATTTTTTTCACTGTAAGAGTAATGCAGATAAATACCCAGAAGTGAACAGCTGGAAAACTCCACCCACAGTCCACTACCTGA